TGTGTATGAGGGGCAGTTTGTGTGTATGGGAGCAGTTTGTGTGTATAGGGGGCAGTTTGTGTGTATAGGGGCAGTTTGTGTGTATGGCGGACAGTTTGTGTGTGTATGGGGGGCAGTGTGTATATGTGGGGCAGTAAATATGTGGGGCAGTAAGTGTGTATGTGGGGAAGTATGTGTGTATGGGGGGGCAGTGTGTGTGTATGAGGAGCAGTGTGTGTGTATGAGGGGCAGTTTGTGTGTACGGGGGCAGTTTGTGTGAATGGGGGCAGTGTGTGTGTATAGAGGGGCAGTTTGTGTGAATGGGGGGTGTGTGTGTGTGTGTGTATGGGGCAGTTTGTGTGAATGGGGGGCAGTTTGTGTGGTGGGGGGTAGTTTGTGTGTGTATAGAGTTTGTGTGTATGGGGGGCAGTGTGTGTGTGTGTGTATGGGGGCAGTGTGTGTGTGGGGGCAGTTTGTGTGTATGGGGGGACAGTGTGTGTGTGTGTATGGGGGGCGGTTGTGTGTGTGTGTGGGCGGCTTGTGTGTATGGGGGCAGTTTGTGTGAATGGGGGCAGTTTGTGTGTGTGTGTGTGTGGGGGGGCAGTGTGTGTGTGTGTATGGGGGGCAGTTTGTGTGTGAGATGGGGGGGCAGTTTGTGTGTATGGGGGGCAGTTTGTGTGAATGGGGGGCAGTATTGGGGGCAATGTGTGTGTCTGTGGCTTATTTTTTATATATTTTTTTTAATTTAATTCGAATTTAATTTTTTTATTTAATTATTTATCCGACATATGTCCCCCCTCCCTTCTTACCTTTACTGGGGAGGAGGGGGGACATACTTCGATCCCTGGTGGTCCGGTGGGGGATTCCCTGGTGGTCCAGTGGGGAGAGTGAACTCTAACCCGTGCTCCCGGGCTAGAGTTCACTTTCGCGAGATTTGGAGCGTTGCCGTGGTAACCGCGGCAACGCTTCAAATCTCACGAGAGGAGGACCCGGAGGAGCTGCAGGCTGAGCTCCGGGTCCTCTCTCTCACTCCCTCCCTCCCTCCCCTGCCGGCTCTCAGCACAGTGCCTGCCATGCTGGCAGGGGAGGGAGAGGGAGACCGGCAGATTTCTCGGGGGGGGCAATTGCCCCGTTGCCCCCCCCTGGATCCGCCACTGGAGGAGGTAGATGGGGTGGGCCAGTGATGTGAATGCTTCATCGTCTCCAATCCAAATAGCCGGACCTTTCCTCCAGGCTCCCTGCCTATTATGTTAGGTCAGCTCACTGGGGGCAGACCCTACAGGGACCTCTGCTGGGTCCCAGTGCCCACGACACATCACAAGTGCATCTTATCGTGTGCTATGCTTGTGGGGGACAGATCTCTAATTTCCCAAAAGTGAGACACCAGGGAACGAAGTTGGCATGGCAAAAATTGT